AATTTTACAAACATATATCTGAATACTATGTATCTGAACTCGTACTAGTACACCTAAAAAATATAATCCCAAAAGAAATACAAAAACAAGCAAAACTGTAAAAAACAGAATAAAACTACTAAACCTGACTAATTTTAAAGGTCCAGTGTATGACATTTACGAGGATCTATTGGCAGAAATGGAATCCACTGTTTTTCTGCAGACCTCCGTCATCAGGATACAACCGGCGCAGAGAGTCGAAGAGATGGCCTGAGAGATAACCGAGAAGGTTTAAAATTATATGGTTGGTGGTTTGTTAAATCTTTGCATTCTCTTTGGCCTCTTTTGCATTTTAATGTGTTGACTTAAGGTTTGTGGTTTGTGGTGACAAGAATCCTGGCTCCCAGGAAAATGTTATGTAAGTGAAAGAGAATGAGTAACCCATCTCACCTTGAGTCCTTGAGTTCTCAAGCAAGGCACTGACATTTCAGCTCCTGCATGGAGCCATAGCAGTCAACGGTGGAAATAGATGGTGCTCAGCAGCTCCCAGTGGCAACTCTCTGAGGAAATGAAGGTCACATTAGAGAACGTGCTCCCTTTGTGTAAGAGCAAAACAATAATCAAATAGAGGAGAGACAGCTTGTTTTGTCTTAGTTTTAGCAGTCCACGAGTGCTGTCACTGGCTTAACAAAGCAGAAACGTCACTGGCATTTAGAATGTCAATGTGACATTTAACATTGGAGTTACAGCTGAGACTTCAGATGCAGAATGACACACTTGCTCCTGCAAACTGACAAATAGGTGCAAACCCCCCAAAATACATGACCTAGTTGTACCTACAGTATGAGGATGAGATGATTCAGCGTTGTTTTTACACTGGCCATATTGTTACTCTTTTCTCTCCTCTATCTTTATCTTAATATTTTCTGAGAGATTAGTCCTCCAAACTAAATACTGCAAGTGCAAGCACCGCCAGAAATTACACAGAAGTATAATTTAGTCTGTCTCCACTGAGAAAAAATCTCACTTACAGTTGTCCCAGTTGTAAAGTTTTGTTGCTAGCTCCCTTTTTCTGCTATTTTAAAATTAGAAAAAGAAAAGAGCTTCAGCATTAAGAAAACAACACAAGAAATATAGTAGTTCTGTTTTCCACTGGTTGACTGTGGGAGGTTTTTAAAGGTCCAGTGTGTAACACTGAGGAGGATCTATTGGCAGAACTGGTATGGTAAATAGTCACAGGTATGTTTTGGTATGTATAACTGACTATAGGAATTATTGTGTTTTTGTTGGTTTCATTGTACTTGCAGAGAGCTAGATCAGAAGATTGATACCACCCTTGTAGGCATACTTTAAAAGACTCCTGCTATAGATACGAAACAAAGAATTCTGGCATTAAATTGGTCAAATTTAACAATGGTGAGGTGCATACTGGCACAAAATATCAGCTTTCCGCTTCATCAATTCAAAAACACATCAGCATCCGCCCAGGAAAAACTTCCAGTTTATTTAAGATCCTCACCACACCCTCTGTATCCTCTACTCTGCAGCTGAATCTCCATACTGTGAGTGCACATACAAACATTCAAACTAACGAATGCATGCTCATTCAGAACATAGTTTTCCCTGTTCAGTTCCTGCACTGTGTGTTCAGGGTGTTTCTGCTCATCTTGATCCCGTCCAGAGAGACAGAATCTCTCAACAGACTGCCAGTGGTGACAACAGGACCTGAGAAACGCACAGATTTGGTGTGTGTGTGTGTGTGTGTGTGTGTGTGTGTCCTCCAGAGAAAGACAGTGAAGCTGCTCTTTCATTTCCTGTCATTTGCTCTATGAACTCTTTTCTCGCACACTCTTCTATTTATCTTTTATATTGCAGTTCTTTCCACATCTAGATTTTTCTTTTCCTCAAAGATTTATTATTAATCTGTGTTTCTTTATACTCTAGCTTTGGGACTCAAACTGGGTTATATATGCTGGTGGGTTTCCACATGACAAAAGTGGCAGTATTTTTTGTTGAGACTGTGAATTTCGCATGAGTCCCAACTGAAAAATTCAGTTTGATGCTGATTTCTGATGCTTAATTCTTTTCAACTGTCTTCCACTAGTTCTCTTCTTCCTC